TTTTTTTTTGATTTAGTTCTTCGTTTTCAGTATGTAAAAAAAAAATAAGAGCATAAAAGAAGAAAATGTAGTGCAAAAAAAATGAATATATTAACAACTATTAAAGCCAAATCTGTTGCTTAACAAAAAAAAGACAAAAAGTAAAAACTGTGTTTCAGGTTTTTGAATGGCACTACCATTTAGCTAAAATTTAATAAGTGCAGAAAAAAATTGTAAATTTAAAAAAAATAAATTGTTCAAAATTTAATTAATAAATATGTATATACTTTTTGTTTGATTAACAATGTATAACATCAAATTTTAAAAATTTAGCGAAAAAAAAAAAGGTGTTAACAACTTAATGAGTCTTTTTTTTTTATTTTTAAAAATTCTTACACTGATTTTTTGTCACCGGTAAATCGTGTGCCTTAAGTTCTGCAATACATTCTGAATAGTTATAGATACGTGACTGAATTATTCCCATCTTTTTGCTGCTGCTCCGTTGTCGTTGATGCTTCAGACAATTTGTACGGATTTTTTTCTTAAACATTTTTTTAACACTAAAAATATATATCAAAAAAAAATAATCTTTTTTAATCAAATTTAAGTTTTCTCATTTCTCATTTTTTTTTTCAAATTTTTATTTACTGTAAAATTTTTGAGAATATTTAACTGACAACTTTTACAACTTCTAATACCTCTGTTTCCATCTGACGATCCATTTATTAACAAAAAGTACAACAAAATTTTTTTCGCTTACTTAAATTTAGAATATTTCGTTATGAAAAAAAAACACACACACATTAAAAAGAAGACAAACGATTTGCATAAAATAATATTACTATGAAAAATTTTGTTGCAATAACGCAAGAAAAAATTTACTAAACTGAATGTTTATATAAGACAACTTATAAGAAAGTGTTGAGATGTATCTCAAAACAACAATAATTTCGCTTAAAATCTAATCAGTTTTTTTCTTTTTTTTTTTAGCGTAAAACATAAAATACTGGTAGAAATAAAACAGATATGTTATATTGGCAAAGATTAGTGATCTTTAACTTTGTTCTCATCAACAACATTAAATAATTTCAATTTTGTCTGTAATAGGCAATTTGGTGCAAACTTATAAGTTGAATGCTTCCTGGTAGAGATTTACAGATATTTCAGATTTTAAATTTTATATTTATATACAATACATTGTTGATAAATTGAATAAGAATATGCAATAAAAAGTTAAGAACTAGACTTTGCAGCTATATTTTATTGGCCTATTTGTTTTAATTCATTTGATCAAATAAACTTCAAATAGCATCTGTTGTTTTTCAGTAATGCACAAAACAGCACAAGACTATTAACTTTTTTTTTGTAATTTTTCTAATGATTTTTCTCTTAGAGAAAGTTTTTGTCTTCGAATAAATGAAATTTTTAGTTGGAGCCAAAGTTATTTACCGTTATTCATACATATATTTAAAAATTACTGAAAAAAAAAGATAAAAAAAGATAAAAACTAAAAGAAAAAAACAAGGTTCAAACTAAAAAAGGTCTAAATTTCTTTTTTTTTTTTTTATATGAAGTATATGTACAAAAGTGAAATGAGATGTTTGTTTGGTATTTGGGAAAGTCAAATATTATTTAACGCATACATATCAAAATGCAAATTAAACTAACCATTTAAAAGGCAGCATTTGTTCTGTTTTTGGCCATCAGATTCTCCTTTCTTCCCCTTTTTTTTTTCTGATAGTTACTGTTGCAGTTTTTTAGTTGGAGCCAAAATGAATACAGTTTTATGCAAATTTTTTGTTCTTTTCTTCTCGTCCACTTTCTTCTTTCTGTCTGCCTGTCTGTCTTCTCGTCTGTGTAACAGGTCGTCTGGTTGTCTGCTTCTCTGTAAGTATAACTGTTTAACCGGTTCTTTGATTGGTTGCTTACAACGGTTACTGTAAACAATCCTTTTTCTTTCGCAGTATCTGAAAGAGGAAAAGATTATTTTTGGTACAGCAAGCGACACTGTAAACGAACAGTACAACGAAACATTCAATTAACAAAATTTAAATTTTTCCGATACTGCACTGACGTAAATTCTTGGAATAATTAAATAAATTGTACAAAAGTTTATCTGTAAGAGATTACATAAAACTTAGGTGGTAAAAAAAATTGACAAATTCAATAAATGTACACTCTACGGTAACAAATATTATTATCAATCATTTGATAGCTGCAAATGTCATTGTGATAATCAACTCTCTATAAGCACAGTCATTAAACGAGCACTACGATTAAGTCATATAATTTTTTAAAACTATAAAGTAAGCAAAGAATAAAAATAATATCGCCTTTTTTCCACTTTTTTTTTGGTAATTTTTGTTATATTTTTTGAGGAAGAAAAAAAAATGTTAAACAAATAAAAAAAACTTCAAAAATTTTTAAAAGTATTTTCCTTTTTATTTTTTGTCGAGTGTAATTCTGTTTAATTTTGAGAGTGACTGAAAAAATAAAATTATAAACAAATGTCTGAAGGAGCAATAATCACTAAACTTTTGCATTTTTTGCATCTTAGAATAAG